TAAATATACACCTACAGTACTCTATATATTTACACAATCATTTTTTTTTTAATTACCAGTATATTGTTTTTGGATAAATAGTTCAGTTTTGGTTTTGTTTATATTTTTCTATTTCCACCTTTATTCTTAGTTACTGAGTAGTATCCTTATTAGGTCAGTTCACCAATGCATACAGATTTCGATGTAACTGTATTTGCTATAACAATTTCATACACATTTATATTGAAAGTAACCTTTTTCGCTTTTTTGCAGAAACTTGAGGAAGAGTTGTCTGCACATCAAACCCTCGTAAAATCTATCGCCAGAAAAGGCCAGCGAAGGAGTCGTAGAACGGCCAGTACAACCAGTAACGATGGGGATAGTGACCAGGATGTTAATGAACTGAAAGCCCGATGGGAAGAAATATCAGCACACCTTGGCGATAAAAAACGGCAATTACAAACTTCACTGGAATACGGTAGACCACAGGTACTGTGACATTTTATTTATTCATTGGCAAGAAATACAAATAAAATGTAATAAATTTAATATAAATATAACATTATTTAAGGTAAAGTATTTAAAAAAAAACCATCATTTCTTTGGTCTTATATTTTTACAAGAAGGTAAAACAAATTCTCTGAATCCTAATAAGAGTAATCGTCAATGAATGTCTATGTCAACTTTGTGAAGTAAAATACTTGTTTAAAACATACAGATGGGATACATGGTTTAAGCTAAATATACAAGAGTATACCAACTTTCTGTTATTAAGTGTACTGTTTATCATCTGTATTACACTATATAGCAGTGTTAAACTACATGCCATCAAAGTACTCTAAATTATATAATTTTTATGGTATATGAAAGTTATTGATCTAAATGTTATTTCCATAATATGTTTCGTACATCATTTGTTGTATCGATTCAACTCTTATTTTTGATGTGCCTTTCTTTAGTTAATCCCCATCCCTAAAACTTTTCTCAATGTAGGCATTTTTGTGGCCATTAAAACTGACCCATAAGCCTTTCTGTAGCTGTCAATTCTGAACCCCTAGGCCTTTGTGTAGCTGTTAATCTTGATCCCTATGCCTTTCTGAAGCTGATAATCTTGACCCCTATGCCTTTCTGAAGCTGTTAATCTTGACTCCTATGCCTTTCTGAAGCTGTTACCCTTACCCCTAGGGCTTTCTGTACTCCATCTTTTTAATCATTAATCCCTGATCACTTATCCTTACTCTAGCGTTTATCCCCATCGTCTTGACATTTTTCTAGCAGATCCTAATCCTAGGAGTCATCTGATGCTACTTTTTAAGAAGATAAAAAAACACACTGAATCACTTTTATTTCATTTCATTTATTTGTCCCAAAAACATTAACATTTACAGGAACAGAAACAGCACATTACAAGCACAAAGAAACATGACAGATACACACCAAAAGTGAATTAAATCACTGCCAAGTAGGGCCCTCACAAAAAACAAACTTACAATATAAAATTTTGCTTTATAGATGAAACATTGACTGATGTTGATACACAGTGAATGTTTTATTAGCCTGCGACCACTTGTTAAAGATGCTCTGATGGTCTGACTGTGTAATATATATATAGTCCGTGTAATATATATATAGTCCGTTTGATAAACAAAACAAAAATCTTCCTATTTATCTGTCATTTAATCTTAGTCTCTCCTTGTTATGTTTCTATCTGGCTCATTTCATTTCGTCACTTGATATAAAATACTGTATTCAAAAAACAATATACAAAGCAAAGCAATTAAGAATGTTTTCAGGATTAGGACCGGATTGCCAATAGCAAAATTAATCACTTTCTTTTTTGCTATTGGCAATCCTGTCAACAACAACAACATTGAAAACATTTATTTCTCCATGATTTGATAAGATGTACTATGCTTGTGATATCAGAAGGAGCTATGTTTGTTTGCCATTAGGTAACATATAAGGATGATGAAACTAGTCACTCGGCTTACACATACTCAGCTGGTCTCCAGTACAGGGGCATTTCCCACGCGAACTATCCCAGCTTAGCTGGCCTTAATAGACAAGGTTCGCTAGCTTCAAACAGAGCCTCAGTTCTTTGTTATGTTAGCCAAGTTCGCCGCACATCAATAATCTATGGAAATAGGGTTAATCAACCAGGAGTAATTAGCATTTGGTTCTAATTGTTGTTCTCCTGTTTAAAGGATAGGTCTTAAAACAAACACTATGAATCTCGTTTGTGTCCCTTTATTATGGCAATCTATTTTTACACAACAACAATATATAAACTACAAAATTTAGACATTCAAAGATGTAGTAGGGTAGGGAATGGTGGATGATGCATTGTGGCAAGATAAAATCATGAAGAAAGAAGCTGTACTTAGTTGGTAATAAGTGAGTTCCACATAGACCTGTATTCCATATTGCATGAGATTGTAGACCTGCAATTTTGAAGGTAACTAAATGTGTTATAATATATATTAGAAAGTAACATTGAAAATTAAATTCTGGTTGATTTAATTTTCCCAGTTACAGTTGCAATGTTTTGAGATTAAATCCCAGTTAGTTTATTTCAATGTTTTTTACTTACATTAACATGTGTTTGTATGTATTTAGAGGTCTATATGTCTCCCGGGTGTATATTTAGAATCCCTGTTCTACTATACACCTGTTGACATGAAACAAAAAAACAGTTATTATCCATGCCCTAAGGATGAGCTCAACTTGAATAATGGTTTAGGCCCATAAAAAAACTAATGTAATAATAGCTCTGATATGCTACTTTGGCTCAAGTAAAATTCTTAAAAATAACCACCCACTACATAGCTAATACCAAGAGGGTTAGTGTGATAATCTAATATACTGGTGAATCTAGGAATTTTAAAAAGAGGGGCCCCACTGATCAATCACTTTTATAGACAGAGGGTTCAGACCACCTAAACCATCGTTGGGTTCCAGGTTTGAAATTTTATGGCTACAGGGCTCCTCTGCATGGCTGGAAATGACACTCTCATGGGTAGATTTGAATGTAATTTTCTTTTTTAACCATTTTCAAGAATTTGTGAGCCCAGACTGGCTATCCCTCCCACAAATTTAATCTGCCTTTTTTTTTTTCATGTTGCATCAGCACTTACCCTTATTACACCCACAAATACTTCAGTACAAAATAAAATGTACTTTATTCAATTGGTTATGTAGGAGAATATTGATGTTTCAGCTAGTCCCTTCCGTGACGTCAGCACAAACCTGGACAGATGCTGCGTCTTAATTTCAATATTGATAGGAATCAATTTAATTAGCCATATTGTCCTGTTATTTGTTTTGCATCCCTGTATCCATGGTGATGTAATGTATTATCAAATATTTTTCTGTAAAGTCTGCATTATTTTTGTAAAGTGTTATGAATAATGTGTTGATATAATGGATAATAAAATTCTGGGAATCAATTCTGAAATGATTATTGAAAACAAATTAAAAGTACCTATATAGCAAAAAGTTGTAAATTATGCGGCTTACCTCCATATGTACTTTTAATATCGTATATTGTTTATTGACAAAATTGCTCAATAAATATAAAAATCTATAACGTTTATCTTGGTTAGTTGCCATAAAAATTTGCATTATTTTATTTTACCAAAATTGATTCCTTAATATAATTATTTTTAATATTCTATGTAATAGCTTTTCTAATTACTGTTTTGAAAGTGCACCATAGGCAATTATTTTGAAAGCCTTTCTCTAATTAATCAACATTGATTAAATATTTGCGTAGGTTATATCAGTAGTAATGTTGCTGCCTCATCTATCATAGCTTTTTTTTTATCTAGGGTGATAGTCCAGTATATTCAGGGAAAATATCTTCAATGATGATGTGAAAGTAACAATATGAGGGGCAGGTGTTTTGCCTACGAGATTCATTCTTTTTCTCATTTGATGTCAGGCTGTTGAAATGTTATTAATAGCACTATCTGATCAGTTGCCTATTTCTAATAATGATATAACAAATGTCATTTACCAAACTCAACCAATATCAATCTTCTCTGAGTTACTACATCCCTGGACCCTATCGAAGAAGAAGCCACTTATTTTATTAGGGAAGACAGCTTTAAAAAAGCATTTTCACAACCTGAGAGTGACATCTCCAGTGTTTAGAAGCGCCTATTCTTAAAATTTGCTTAAAACATGGTGGGACTAAGGTGAATTTGGTCGACTATCTGCTAATATATGAAATTGCACCACAATATTAAAATCTAAAAAAAAAAAATTTTTTTTTCACGCCTTTGTAGGAATTCATGCCAACATCAAGTTATCGTCAGCCAAGGAGATCCCTGACATACAATGATGAGGATGATGCAACTTCAACAGAGGAACTGAAGGCATCTCTTGGGCATCTGAATCAGTGCTGGGAAAAGCTGCAGATGCAGGTGAGTGGTCAATTGTTATGGTGTCAGCCCTGAGAATAAGGTTCAATTTATGTGAATAATATTGTAAATTTGCTTTACCCAATGTCACTTGGGGATCGAATTCAATGCTAGATACTAACCGCAAGCTCAGTGGTCTTCCTACAGTAGTGGTTATGATACCAGCTGGAGGCTGTGGGTTCGATTCCGACCAGTATAATTTGTATTTGTATTTGGGAATGTACTGAGTATACTGTTCAATAATACATCATCTTGGGCAAAAACTCTATTCCTAAAGAATATTCTAATGATAAAAATCTTCCAGTTTGTTACGTAGTTGAATGGAATTGCACCATGCTTTCATTTGAAAAGGTGAAGGTTCAATCTTTAGGGAATACAATTGATGTTTTTTATATGAATATAAATTCTGCCCTTGAATTCTCTAGTTAGTGATTAATTAGTTTTTAATTAACAATTTAAGAGTTTTTCTAAGTTAAATACTAATTTGAATCCAGCTAGCTTTTTGGAATTTAACTTAATACAGCAATAAACAGAACTCTTGTATATTTTGATAATTGTGAGTACTAGTATTTTAATCTGAAAAGGAATAAAAATCAAAGTTATATCAAGTGTAATTGATGTCCGTTGTTGCCAGATTGTCTGAGCCTGTAGATAATCTTACCTGTTTGTGATATAGCATAAATAATAGATGATTGTTCTCGGGTGTCAAAGACTGGTATAGTTAACGCTTTTCAAGTAAATAATTTGCTAGTAATATAGATTGAACTCTGGTAAAGCTCACACAATATTGAACATGAAATTAGGTTGATTTTCCTGTGGGAGATGTACTTGTACTTGAGCAAAATTATGCCAAGTTACTGTCATATAATTTATTATTACTGTTTTCCTGCTAAGGATATTTCCTGTTCAAGATGATCTTACAACAATTAAGCCAGCTTATTTATTTTATTTATTTTTATTTTATTATTTTTATTTTTATTTTTATTTTTATTTTTATTTTTATTTTATTATTTTTATTTTTATTTTTATTTTTATTTTTATTTTATTATTATTATTTATTTGTATTTATTCTATTTAATCTATTTAAATTAAGTATATAGTTCAGTGATGAGAATGAGGTCAAAGTAGATATTAACTATTAAGTAATTAATTATATGTTGATGGAAGACTAAAGGGACTTGACTTATGCATTAATAAATGAAGATTGAAGTGATAGAAATTAAGTGAGTGCTAAAGGATGCTGAGACAATACATAAATTAAGTGTGGTAGAAAACATTATCAAACATAGCTAGCTAGTTTCTATACCTGGGTACCCACAAAGAAAATTATTTTCTTAAGCTAAACACTGCCTTCATATAGAGTATAATTGCACTTGTATTTCTATTGTACAAAATTCCCACCCTGTATTGTCTTTTTCTATGTATTTATGTATGTATGTTTGCATTCCATTGTTATTCCAAAGGCCTTTTGTTTCATTGGTACGATGTTTGCTGTGCTAATAATGCACTATTGTTTTTTTATGCACTAGAGGTTGTTGTTTTTTGTCTTGTCTGGACAGTTGCCTGAAGAAGTTCACTGTGTGAGCCAAACCTTGTTGGTTTTTAATTAGCTTGTCTGTAAATTGCACTGCACCATAGTAACTACCAGAAAGAAAATAATCTTTGCGATTAGTAATGAATTAACTACTTAGTTTTAATTAATTAAAAACAGTTTCTATAATTGATCATCTTAATACTTGTTATATTATCTGGAATATTAAATTCAAGTATGTCCATTTCTCTTAATTTTCTATGTTTCCTACTGTGAATATGTTTTATATGAATAAATAAATATTTTATTTTATTCATAGGTGGATGACAAGCAGACTCAGCTAGAGCAGGCATTTGAGTTCCAGGGACATTACCAAGAAGCGCTGGAGACAGTGTCCAGTTGGTTGGACAACGTTCAAGTGAAACTGTTCGCGTCAGATAAGGGCAAGGACGCACAAACTCAATTAGAAGAGAACACTGTGAGTAGTTTTTCATTAAAATTAATTGCATGAATAGAAAAATTTGAGTTAAAGAGAGGAAAGGGGGAAGGGAGTGCACCCATGAGTTCAGTGGCAATCTAGCAGTGGGAGAAAGAAGAGCTCGATTGTTGACCACTTATTTACACCAACCATGGTCGGGCAGAGGTGGGCGTGGCGGCGTGAACTAGTCTAAACCTAGGGTTTAGACTAGTGTACATACAGTACCACACAAAAAAATGAGGGATTAAAATGTTTTATATACAGAGCTCAGTATGTGGCTTAGCAAGGTAGTTCCAGCACCATCCATCCGATCTTAAGCTCGATTCAAGCAAACCCAGCATCAATTTTTGTCACAGTCAAAAAGAATTGTATTCTCACGCCTCATAGACTTGGTGACAGAGCATCAAGAGTCGACAAGGGCCAGCTTTGCTTGATTCGTTAAATATGGAATAAAAATAGACACTGCAGTTCAAAGTGATTGATTAGTCGATAAAATCATGTGGTGATTTTCTACAATAGCGATTATATTTAATTTTTTGTCAGTGATTGACTTCTTGTTTTTTGGCACTTCTTTTTTAGGCAAACACCTTAGGTTATAATATGAACTTTTTTGTGT